CACAGTAGGCCTTGAAACAAACAGGAAGGCCAATAAGAAACGTTCACGACGTCGCAAGACGACGAAAACGTTCCCCAAGAAGGCAGACGATTGCAAGGTCTGCAATTCTATTGTCGAACAAGCAGATTCTGCTTTCGAATGTAACTTTTGTAAGCAATGGGTACATTGTAGATGTGACACCGGAGTACCAAAGGTATATTACGATTTTATGCGTAAGAACCCATGCCCATGGTTCTGGTACATTTGCCCAAGTTGCCGTCCTAATACAGCCTCGTGTAGTTCCTCGAAAGCCACAGATGTCATAGAGATATCAGGAAAAAATGTGAAACGTTTCACTCCCACCAACTCAGAAAACAGCACAATTGCATGTAAATCGGGGATACCAAAATCCACACCGGTTATACTTGCAATTCCTGCCATAACTGCCCCAGACACAGAGGTTGAAGCACCAAGGGTACCTGTCGCTGGGAAAAGACCCTTACCGTCCACCAGTAAAAGTGGCCACAGCACTGCGACACATAATAATACCCAGTTGCACAAGATGAAACAAAACGGTCTTAAGGGGGATGACAAATGTGCGAGGACCGAACCTAAATCCACGGTCAGTCGATCAAACTGCGTTATCCTCTTTAATGTACCAGACTGTAGCAGTAGTCTGCTGGAAAACAGGGCCCTGTTTGATCAGGAACAGTGGTCCAACTTATGTAGCACACTGGGTCTGGACATCCAACCAGTAAAACTGTGCAGATTGTATAAGGGCACTGCTGCTCCTCAAGGCAAACCATCCCCACTGAGGGTAACACTAGGCTCTGCCGAAGATGCCGAAAAAGTTTTATTGACTTCCCAAGTCCTTTCTATAGGGAGGACCTGCAATATACGTGTTAGGCCAGATAGGCCATGGAAGGAAAGACAGATGGCGAGGGAGTCGCCAGAGCTTATTCCTTCTGCCTCCATGGTTGTTCACGGCATTCCTGAACTGGAAACTGGGAACGCTTGTGAGAAGCACTGTCACGATGTACAGCAATGGAGATGGTTGGCATCCCAGATGGGTCTGGGAAGTTCAGGGGCTGTCTCTATTTTTAGACTGCCTCGACCCACTCACCTAATGTCAATTAACACCCCACGTCTGTTAGCTGTTAAGTTTAGCTCCCGAGACCACTTGACTACTGCTCTCCAGAGATGGTACGAGACCAAAGACAAGGTCAGCAGACACATTCGCTGCTGCGAGAGCCGGCCTCGTACCCTAAGGAGAGAGCAAAACGTTGTCATAGAACATCCCCAACCCCTAGTCACAATACAGCGGTGCAGCACGGACGATGATAGCCAGTGCCATCCAAGTGCTCCGATTGAATCAGAAGAAAAAAACTCCAACAGGCCGGTTCCCGGGGAATCGGCCAACTAGTTCGTAGGATAACTCCTCAACCGACAGCCCACATCACGTCAACCACCCCCCAATACGGGGACGTGGTGAGACTGACTACCAGTTGCCTGTACAGTAATGTGAGCTGAACTTAGATACCTACAATCACAGCTGAACTCCAAAATCATAATACTGACGGAAACCTGGCTAACCCCTACGGTGGCAGACAGCGAAGTCAGTATAAATGATATGGTCCTTGTCAGGCGAGATAGGGATCTGAAAGAAGGAGGTGGAGTCGCCATATACGTCGACAAACAGCTCAGATGTGTCCATGCAATCGACCCTCCCCTCATTGAGCTCCCTGACTCCATATGGTGCCATTTCACCGTTGGGTACTGTAAGTATCTAGTGGGCAGCATTTACAGATCACCTTCATGTGGAGCAGACCACAACCAGGTACTGCTGAATGCAATTTCAGCGACACATGACATGGGTTATGATCAAATTGTCATAGCTGGAGACTTCAACGCCCCATCTCTTAACTTGATGACGGGATGTGCCCAGGACAGATTTGATCGAAATCTGCTGCATACCATCACGGAGGCCGGATTCACCGAAAATGTCAGAATGGATACTAGATGGGGCCCAGATGGGAAGTCTTCTAGACTGGATTACGTGCTCACTAGTGACCAGCTACTAGTGGAAAACGTTCAGATCACGACTCCCATAGGTAGTAGTGACCACGCGGTCATAACATTCGACATAGTCCTCCGCGAGCGTTTACAGTGGGACAATACACAGCCCTATCTGTGTTATAACAAAGCCAATTACACGGAAATGCGAAGACTTTTGTCTGAAGCAAATTGGCCAAAAAATTGGACAGAGCTTACAGTAGAAGAACACTGGAGAGTGGTAAAGGAGATCATTCACCAGGCGATCTCAGACACTGTTCCTTTGGTCACACCTAAAGCTAGAAAGCAACGTTCATGGCTAAGAAGGGGGACACAACGCCTTCTACAGGCGAAGCGAAAAGCCTGGTTTGCGTGGCGAGTATCGCAGAGTCAACCCGAACATGAAGAGTACCTCGAACTCAGGAATCGGTGTAACATACGAGTCCGGAGTGATAGAAGGACATTTCAGAGAAACCTCGCCAATAAGCTTCTCGTGAACCCCAAAAGCCTATACAGGTTTATGTCTGAAAGAAAACCGACCAACCAGGGAGCTTGCAATATAGTGGGTTCTGATGGGAAATCTCTTACTAGTCTTGAAATGGCAGAGACATTCAGTCTAGCCTTTCACAGGCAACTGAACAGTAACGAGGATTTTACCCTCACAAAACATCAAGATTACAATGCAAGACCAACGTGCGAAAACCTGCTGGGTACATTTCAAATTACCCCGGCTATGGTACTCATAAAATTGGGAAAGTTGGCTTCGGGAAAGTCTGCAGGTTGCGACGACATAAGACCATCCGTCCTGAAGCAGTGTTCAGAAAGTCTCTGCCAACCCCTAAGTGATCTGTTTCAACACTCCTTTGATGTAGGGAAACTTCCATGTGAATGGAAACGAGCCATCCTATCCCCTATCTTCAAGGGTGGTGACCGGCAGAACGCGACCAGTTACAGAACAGTTGCGCTACTCCCAGTGATATCGAAGATATTGGAAAGTCTCATTGACGACCACATGAGAAAATACTTCGACGGGACTAACCTACTCCATGAAGCACAGCATGGTTTCAGGAAGGGAAGATCCTGTGTGACGAATCTTCTACTAGCTTGGAACGATTGGACACTATCCTGGGATGTAAAGGTACCAGTCCATGTGATCTTTCTCGACTTTGCGAAAGCATTCGACACAGTTCACCATGGTCTGCTCCTTCACAAAATAAGCAAAGCGGGTGTTTCTGGAGCACTTCTCGCATGGCTGGAAGATTATTTAGGCGAGAGAGAATTCTGCACCAAAGTCAACCGCATCCGATCATCCTGGCACACCTCGGCATCAGGGGTTCCTCAGGGTTCTATCTTAGGGCCGTTGATGTTTTTGATTTTTATCAATGACCTACCCTGTCAACTGAATTGCTCTGCGCTTCTTTACGCTGACGACGTAAAGATTTGGAGAGCAATAAACTCATCGGAAGACTCCGACAGATTGCAGGCTGACCTGCAAACGCTGGGGGACTGAGCTCTGGCTAACGGAATGCCTTTCAACTTAAAGAAGTGCAAAGTAGTGCAACTTCATTCCGTCAGGTCACAGAGTGCAAATTACACCCTTGGTGGCCAGAACTTGAGTTGTGTGCCATCAGAACGCGATCTAGGCCTTATTTTAACAGAAAAGCTAGACACCAGTGTAAATTACACGAGGGACGTCGCCAAAGCTTACGGCACTTTACACTTTATGCATAGGCAACTGGGAGCTCTTACTCCTGAACTATTCCTAACGTTGTATACGACATACGTGAGGCCACTCCTTGAGGTGCATAATATCATTGCTCCTCCGCTACTCAAAAGGGATGCTAACATGCTAGAAAGTGTCCAGAGACGAGCGACAAAATGGGTGATCGGCCTCCGCAACAAATCATATGAGGAGAGACTGAAGAAATCAAGTCTTTTCACACTTAGTTACCGTAGTCACAGGGGAGAGCTCATCACCGTCTATAAGATCCTAAATGACCAGGCCCATCCTGATAAGAGCATCCTGCCATTAAGTGATTATAGGCTTCCACGAGGTAACCCGCTAAGGATAGCACACCAGAGACCAAGGACTCGAGTGCGTTCACATTTCTTCTCGCTTCGAGTTTGCCGTCTCTGGAACGCTTTACCGGCGGCCGTAACTACAGCTCCATCTGTGGAGATTTTTAAGCGGAAGCTGGACAATCATGCAGAAATGCATGGTTTGTGTCTCAATGGCTTACCCTCTTAAAATTTGAAACCACATTGTCAATGGATAAGCATACAAGCTAAATCCCCACGACCCGTCCTGTCTTCTCCCACTGTACCGACTACTCTATCTTTTCTTTCTTTCTTTCTTTCTTTATTATTTCACTTATCTTAACCTATATTATCTACACTACAACCTATTATTATCATTATCATTATTATTACTCTACTTTTATGACTATACCGAATGACCAACGGGTGTTAGGTCAAACTCCATTCACGGCAGCAGCTGAGTCCTAACATACTGCACACTACAAACCACAATCTTGACCAATCCTCGCATCACTCCTCCTGGAGTCTACCAGAGCTAAAGCAGTCGAGTGGCGGGATTTACTACGCATAAGTTCACCGAAGATCTGGAACCTCTACCTTAAAATCAAGAAGCGAGCTCAAAGAAATCACCGGTTTATACTAGCTCGTAATCAGGATATTGGATATTGGATATTGGACATTGGATATTGAAGTAGCCTTCACACGATATGGGATCATTGTAGTCATGTGCGCCAAGTTTGAAATTCCACCCATGAAAGCAGTAAATGTTCATAGTATTACAAACAATACCGTGCATTTAACACGTAAAGAAATCCTCGACTGGCTTGTGGTTTCTCTAGGTTTTAGTATTACTCGGGTGGAAGACCTTGCAAATGGTGAGATATTATATTTATTTGTAAATTACTAAATTAGGTTCTATATATTGCCAGATTATGGAGAAGCTATTTCCTGGTTAGTTCGTAATAACTTACTTTAATTGTGTGAAGGCAGTATTTGTGTTAATAGAATAAATTTCAGTGCGAAATCTGCTTACGAATCTTTTGGGAATTATAAGCTTCTACTGAATGCTTTCAGAGAGTGTGAAGTTAGCAAGGTAATTGTCTCCTCCATCAGCGTTTTTAATTTCGAATTCATGCAAAAGTTGTCCATATAATTTTGTCCTTACTTTTTATTCAACTGTAATTATCTGCTAACACTTCAAGAAGGAATATTAATCCATAAATTATAACTGACAAAAGAAGCCAAGAAGCCTTCATAAATGAGAAGAATGCTGGAATTCCACAAACTTATGAAGCACGTATTTTCTGATTTTGATATCTTTTAATAGCACTGACGAGTGGATAAATATATGGGGACTTGTTGTACTGATGTTTTTAATTTTACTGAGTGGTTATGTCACAACGTTGTAGCCACCATCGAGAAATTTCACAACTAGCTTCAGTGAATTAACCACCTGACTAATCATGAATGCGGTTTGTGTTTTGCCCTCAAAACCTGTTGCTGATCTGGGTGTATAATTTTGTTGGGTTTAGTTTTAAGACTAAGAGTTAGATTGAAATTTTTGATTGAGGATAGAAGGTTTCCTTTTCTAATAATTATCTGTGTTTGTTTAATCACTTCTTAAGGGATTCCACTTAGGGAACTTAAAACCGCTTCTCCTGGGATTTGGTTCTCAGAGTTAATGACTTAGTGGGAGGATCGGTGTTCCAAAACCATATAGTTTCTCCTTGGCTTTTTAGACCTCCTAGCATGTCCTCTGAGATAGATCACGTCTCAAGTCACTCCTTAGAATCTCGGACCTTGTGGTGAGATTTCCTCTCTGCCTACGATATGATAAGGAGAAGAGTTCCAAACTGTCAAGTCTTTCCTCGTATGATAAATTAGTCATACCAGGAATCATACGAGCAGCCTTCTTCTGAACCATGTGTAGACGATAACTCGCTAACCGGATGCATTTCTTGAACTTCAACCTAACCAGAGGTGTATATAAAGTGGTGAATATTTCACTGATATTTCTGGAAAAGGCCCTGGGGGTTGCCCATAATGATCTTAGACTTCAAGCAATAGTTTGCCGTTGTCTGAACTGATGGGAGTGGTATTTTTTCCATGGTAAATGAGTTGATGCTTGCTAGCCTTATGTCCATGATTGTGAACATCACTCCGTTTTGTGTCACTTCAACAGTTTGGTGAGATCTCTTTTCAACGTGAGGATGTCATTATCACCCTTAAACTCAAGGTTCAGATTTTCAGACTTTTCATAGATGTTAGAATGCTTCAAGCCTGTGTTAGTCTTTTTCTATTAAGTATTTGTGCTTGTTTAATTCTTTAATGAACTAATCGATTAAAAGCGCAGAAATAACTTCTTCCGGGAGCCTATTTCAGCTAGTTTCTTTGTGAATATACTTGATTTTGGTAGTTTCAGCACTTTCTGTAGAATTCAGATTGTCTCATGATGTCAAGCCTTCGAAATTCTTCTAGGTGTACCAAGATCATTCTCGAAATTTACTTACAAACTGAGGTTCCAAAGCCATGGTAGATAATGGGCATACTTTGTTAATGGAACAGCAGCATTGTAAAATGTTAAGTTAAGAGTGTAAAACTAAGCATACTGAACAGTTTAACTGCCTTATCGATTATGCAACTAGAGTTTCATGGCTGCAATCTGCATTACTGTACCAATGCTAAATAGTTATGAGAATTTTCAGCCTTTGGACCTGATGAAATAAAACGATAAGAAAGAATTCACTACAGATATTGTTAAAAATATACCTCGGAATTAATTACTCAAATTATGAGGACCCAATCTAGTTAAACTGATGCTATCTACATAGCTCAGGAAAGTACTCTGTTGCTTTACGGATTTAAACCAGGTTTTTAACTGACCAACTCTGGCTCTCTTCCAACACATTCCAACTTCAACTAATTCCATAATGGATAAGATTTTATTTTGATAAATCACACAGTGTAGTACAGTTATATTAACTGATGACGTTTCGAGCACAAACTATTGCTCATAATCATATCAAGTTACTCACACAACTTCTTTCCTTCATTTATATACATGTGTGGAATCGACTAGATATTGGAATAAAATTCAATATGAGATAATGTACATTCAGAAATAGTAGTACGAGTGTTATTAATCCATTGCAATTAGATGGGAAATACGACGAGTGTTTTTATAGTCATAATAAGTTGATTGTTAGAATGTGTTGATGTGTTTGAATGGAAATAGAATTTTATGACTATTTATCATCTTCTTCTGATTTGACTGGTGGCAATAATACGAGTGTTATTAATCCATTGCAATTAGATGGGAAATACGACGAGTGTTTTTATAGTCATAATAAGTTGATTGTTAGAATGTGTTGATGTGTTTGAATGGAAATAGAATTTTAAGACTATTTATCATCTTCTTCTGATTTGACTGGTGGTAATAATACGAGTGTTATTAATCCATTGCAATTAGATGGGAAATACGACGAGTGTTTTTATAGTCATAATAAGTTGATTGTTAGAATGTGTTGATGTGTTTGAATGGAAATAGAATTTTAAGATTATTTATCATCTTCTTCTGATTTGACTGGCGGTAATAATGTCTTCCATATTTCTGGTATTTGCATTGAGTCACTTCTGTTGCATGTGTTGGGTGTAGACTCGATGAATAAGGATTCCGTAATCAACCTCTCTTTCCACCTACCTATTAGATTATATGGTACTATTAAAATACATAAGCCAGGATACCCAATAAGGCCAATAGTAGATTTTAGAAATACCCCAACTTATGAATTATCAAAACACTTAGCTTCAATACTATGCCCTATCAGAAATAATTCAAACTCTAGATTAACTAATTCATATGAGATGAAAAGTAAACTAAATGACATTCAACTAGCGAATGACGAAACAATGGTCAGTTTTGATATAACCAGTCTTTATACTAATATACCAGTCAATATGGCCTTAGAAGCAGTTAAAAAAGAACTAACTGCGGATACTGAACTCAATCATAGGACAAAGCTGTCCATTGAAGAAATTATTTTAGGGATTCAGCTATGCCTCACATCTACTATCTTCAAGTTCCAAGGCAGAATATATAGGCAAACAGAAGGTGTAGCAATGGGATCACCAATATCCCCTATTGTAGCAGACATCTTTATGGACAGCTGGGAAAATAGTGCTCTCAATACATTTAATCCTAGGCCAAAAATATGGTGGAGATATGTAGATGACACATTCACAGTGTTAAAAACAGAACATATCTCTAGCTTCTGAACACATATAAACTCACAAGTAGAAGGAATAAAATTCACATTTGAATCAGAAAATGAACAAGGAGAATTAACCATGTTAGATTGTAAGATAAAACGAATAGAAGAAGGCAAACTACACACTAGTGTTTATAGAAAACCAACGCATTCTAATAGATATTTAGACTTTAATTCGTCTCACCCGTTAACTGTTAAGGCAGGCTTGGTTAAGTGTCTGACAAACCGAGCCATAGCACTAAGTAGCACAAAAAAGGACCTAAATGACGAAATAAAACAGATAGAAGAAGCGTTGGTGTTGAATAACTATCCTATAAAATTCATTAAGAAGATCAGCAAAGGCCAAAAACAAAATAAAAATAATTGTGTAACTAGTAGTAATAACACAAATAAGAGAGAATATAAGTCTTCTACTGTTATACCATATAAGGAGGGGACATCTGAGGCCCTACGTAGGATTCTCAATAAAGCAGGAATTAGGGTGGCATTCAAACCAACAAACTCACTCAGAGACAAACTTTGTAGGTTAAAGGACCCGTTGGACCCAATTAAACAAAATAATATAATTTACAAAATACCTTGCAACGACTGTGAAGTCAACTACATAGGTCAAACTAGTAGGTCAGGGATAGTCAGATTATCAGAACATAAGAATTTAGCTAAAGGGAAAATGATTGACCCTGAAAAGATAAGTAATTTAGAAAAAAGCTCAGCTATTGCACTTCACGCAATAACAAACAACCACACAATAGGGTGGGATAGGGTTAAAATTCTAAAACGTAATATAGGTAGGTGGAAAGAGAGGTTGATTACGGAATCCTTATTCATCGAGTCTACACCCAACACATGCAACAGAAGTGACTCAATGCAAATACCAGAAATATGGAAGACATTATTACCGCCAGTCAAATCAGAAGAAGATGATAAATAATCTTAAAATTCTATTTCCATTCAAACACATCAACACATTCTAACAATCAACTTATTATGACTATAAAAACACTCGTCGTATTTCCCATCTAATTGCAATGGATTAATAACACTCGTATTATTGCCACCAGTCAAATCAGAAGAAGATGATAAATAGTCTTAAAATTCTATTTCCATTCAAACACATCAACACATTCTAACAATCAACTTATTATGACTATAAAAACACTCGTCGTATTTCCCATCTAATTGCAATGGATTAATAACACTCGTATTATTGCCACCAGTCAAATCAGAAGAAGATGATAAATAGTCTTAAAATTCTATTTCCATTCAAACACATCAACACATTCTAACAATCAACTTATTATGACTATAAAAACACTCGTCGTATTTCCCATCTAATTGCAATGGATTAATAACACTCGTACTACTATTTCTGAATGTACATTATCTCATATTGAATTTTATTCCAATATCTAGTCGATTCCACACATGTATATAAATGAAGGAAAGAAGTTGTGTGAGTAACTTGATATGATTATGAGCAATAGTTTGTGCTCGAAACGTCATCAGTTAATATAACTGTACTACACTGTGTGATTTATCAGAATAAAATCTTATCCATTATGGAATTATACTCTACCACAGTGCCCAAGTTTTATACTTATATCAACTTCAACTAACTTTGAAGCACTAGGTAATTTCATTTATAAAGTTACATAGATTGAGATGGCTAGGTCACGTGCTGCGCATGCCTAACCATCGCCTCCCCCGACGGACTGGCATTACTAGCTGATATAGGTGCAGGTTGGAAGAGAGTAAGTGGTGGCCAAACAAAAACATGGCCTCATCAATCCATGAAATGCTTGACAGTTAAACTGAGCCAGTCAGGTAGGGAGGGAGATGCAGACTTCCGAGTTGGGGCCCGCCCTCGGGACTCTAAGAATCAATGGCTGGAGACAATAGGTGACATGGCTGAAAATCGTTGTCAATGGCTTACGCAGATGTATTCAGTCTCTGTAATCTTTCATATTCCTTTCTACCATTACTCATTCTGTTTCACTCTTATACTTGTCAAAACTCTATTGATTCTGTTCACTCATTTTTTTATCTACCTTTGTGTGCTATTTGGAACGTGGCAACTCGAACTGCTGTACTTCGGTGCCAAGTTCTATGTTGAATCCAGACAGACAAGAAAGACAGGTTATTTCAGTATAGTAAAATTTATTGACCACTTCATGAGCCTTAATGGATAATACCAAGGATAATACAACTTTAATGTCCGCATCGATCATTCGCAGTTTATCTTAGCTTTTTTTCCCATATGATTGTTCATCAACGAAACATTAGTAGTGTGTTCGTCAGCTACGCATGTAGTACGGACTTGATTCCCTGACTACGCAGTCCTAAACCTTATTTACTTTACAAGACGATAGTCAGCTTGGAAATAAGAGAAGCCAACTGACTGGCTGACTTAGCTTTACGATAGAGTTCTGTACAGAAGTGCGGAATTTCAAGTTATCAAATCCCATGTAACATAAATGTACAAGAGAAAGAACAGTGACAGGGGAAATCATGAAGGCCTAATAGACATGGGAAATCACAAAGAGTGAATGGAACCGCCTTACTGAGAACTACTTTGAGCCATATTACAGAGAATCTTCCATCACTGGATCTTAGCCTCCAGGGGACCCGAACCACTCAGGTACTCTACACCCCCTTATATGGTTAGCTCAAAGAAGCTTTATTCCATGTCTTTTCCAACTCACCTCTATGTCCACTAACATCGCTCATTGAGGAAGGTGGTGTCTTGGCATGCACAACACCCGCCTTAACTATCTCCATCTATGCAGCTTTACAACTTCATTCAGTGACTTACTCACACTGCCTGACAACTTTGCATCTGAAGTTGTTAGGTTTGTAAATATATATATGTATATATATGCTGCTGTTTCATCCTAGTTTGGGAATCATCGGCAGTACGCACCCACTGGGATTCGAACCCAGGACCTTCCCGTTACAAGGCAAGCTCGTATACCAGTGGCTGAATGGTATACGAGCTTGCCTTGTAACCGGAAGGTCCTGGGTTCGAATCCCAGTGGGTGCGTACTGCCGATGATTCCCAAACTAGGATGAAACAGCAGCTGTCCAGTACTCCCTGGTTTTCAATGGTTCTCTAACTGATATCAGTCCGTGATCAACTCGTAAAACATAACTAATCCTTACAAACCAAAATAAAGAAAAGTATATATATGCGTTTAAACAATCAAATGAACATTTATCAATTCTATAGCTTTTTAATTATTCCCATCTTTTAAAATTTTTTGCTAACTAATAGGATATACCAATAGAAAGTTTAATTAATGGAGCATTTTCAGAAAATTTTCGATTTGCACAATGGTTTCGGCTGTTTTATGAAGCTAATATAAAAACACGCCAGAAAGACAATTCCAGCAGCAAAAAGTTAAACTCAAACAAGAAATGCAGCAGAAGACATCAACCACAACAACAACTGCCTAATAACATTAAGAATTGTCTGTCATCATCATCAACAACAACCTCGGCGTTGATGTCATCACCCAGCACTCCTTTACATCATCGTGAAGATAATGTCAGATCTTTGAAATCATCATCTTATAGTAGTAGTAAATCGAATGGATCATCCAGTTCTGCAAGACCTCAATCATCATTACGAATGCAAACTACTCGATCAACTTCGTGTCATGTTAGACCACAATCTTCAACTGGATTTTATGAGAAATCTAATGGAATGTGGAAAAGTGAAGATACTAGACAGGAATATGGAGGTTTGTGATAGCTCATTTTGAATATTATTGTTATTTCCTTGAGTTCCAAGTGGAATATAGGGCTTCAACAAGACATTTCCAATTTGTTCTATTCTCTGCTGTCCTATTTATCTGGCTGGCTCCACGACTGACCATAATCTGCCATCTCGTCCAGCAACTTACACGATCTCCTCCATGTCACCCTCGCACCGACGACACAGTCTGGCCTGGTGTGCGATATCATTCGGCGGCCTCCTCAGTGTATGCGCGATCCACCTACACTTTCTCCTACATATTCGTTGAGCAATCGGCTCTCGCCTGCTGGTTTGTTCCCAGCCAGAGTTTCTTGTTGCTAATTCTTTCTGGCCAGCCAGCCGACCGGCCGGCCATTTGATCTTGAGCATGGAGCCATCCAGGGAAGGTGGCAGCTGTTGATAAAAGTCTGTAACTTGCTGGAAATCCTTTCCGTGATACACTGGTCAAATTTATGACACGTATGGAAGAAGTGACTGACTTGACTTCACATTTGTGTTGAAAATCTAAATTATGTTCCTTATGCTGCTGAGTGAGGCCAGATTTCAAAACTGGTTTCAGGTTGATGAAGGTGTATCTTGCCTTTCTGATTCTGACTGTTCTGCTTTGACATCTTCATCTGTGCTGTTCGACTGCCTATCGTTGAAACCGTGCCTCCTGGCCAGATAAGTGAAGTCAGGAAGTAACCTCCGTCAAATCTCTCCTGTTGATGGTGATTGGTGCTGGTTGTTGTTGTTGCTATTAGCAGTGGTGGTGGTTGGTTATCTTCATCACCTTACACTTACTTTTTAAAACATTACGTAAACTAATCAATAAATCTTTTGGTAGATTGGTTGTTTATCAACCTTTCAACATTACCTTAGAATATTTGAATGTTATTACTATTATTAATTATTTTATTCCCTTACCTTCCACATGGAACATAAGGCTTCAAGCTGGAGCTTTGAAATTTCTGTAACAGAGGTTCTATTTTTACAGGGTGGGGTTGCTAGCCTCACACCTAACCTTCCATCTTTCTCATCAGCCTTACTGCCGGCATAGTGAGGTTTAGGAGTGCATCAAGTGGGGATCAAACTCTGAACCACTTGTGTGGTTGGTCGGCGTACTGACACTAAACCATCAGTGCACCATTGAATGCTGCCTTTTTAAGCATACTGTGTAGAGAAGCAATGCAATGTGTAATAATAATAATAATAATGAAGAACTGAGTTAAAAATATTCACCACTAACAAAAACATTGAATATCCAAATTTACTGTTAGAAAAGAGATTTCAGTTGGCATTAATTAAGTGAGATTAACGATTACAAAAGTATGGATACTGAACAAAGAATACTCTTTCTGATAACTTCATCATCAGGCTCTACAGTTATACATACATTATAGTGCATGAATGAATGAATTAGTGTTATGAACAACATTAATGCTGTTTCGGTCGGTCAGTCGGTTTTCGACATAGAACTTTGCACACATGTGCAGCAGTTCAATTCGCCACACTCTCTCCATGTAGCGCACAAAGCAAGAGAAGAAAGTAGGAGAAATGCATAATGTAGACAGTAAACAGAGGTGTGAGACAAAGGAATAGTAATAACGAAGAACAAAACAGTTTCATTGGAAATCATGAGTCACAAGGAGTGGATGCATCTGCGCTCGCCAGCCATTGAGAACGATTTTGAGCCATGTCACCAATTGTTTCCAACCACTGGTTTTCAGCGTCCCGAGGACCCCAACCAGGAAGTCTACACCTTCCTACATGGCTTAGACTAACTGCTGTTTAAATAAGATCGAATCAATAATAATAATAACAATGGATTACAGTCCAATAGCATTGACATAAAATAAGCTGAAGGTCAGAAAAATTAGGAAAGATGATATATTACAGATTCATGAATTTATAGTCTCCACTGAAGGCTGGCCAGGGCAGTAGTAGGGGCTGGACTCGCTTCTTTTGCACACAGAGCACTACTTGTTTCAGGGGGATATCTATAGCCTCTGCTGTTTGGAGCATGCGTTGCTTCGATGTTTTTTAGCAATTTATTTGGCACTCGGAATATGGTAGAGAAGGATTTTTCCACGCTGGCTTTGTGGCCGGTTTGCATCAGATGGTCCAATATCGAACTGTTAATGGTTTTCACTACACTTTTACTTAGCCACAGTGGGAGATGTTCTTGCGCGAGCACGAAAAATCAAGTTCCTAGAGAAGCGGCTGATATAACTCGCTCCATTACAAGCTCAGTTGAGTGAATACTATGTTCGGAAACAAATATCGCCCAATGATTGCATAGCCATTAAAAAGACGGTTGCAGCGAAGGAAATTTTGTTTTTGACGAAGTCATCAACTTGACCGCTGTACACGCGTGTATTTATATTAAATGTGTGAGAAACTTTCAGAATTATTTCCGGTCAGAGGTCAAATTAATAAAATTACTAGGTGTAATAAACAGAAGATAGGTAGTGGTAATATTCTAGAAATATTTCAGGTCAAAGTTCAAATTAACAAAATTACAATGTGTAATAATCAGGAAGATCGGGTAGAAAAGACAAAATAGGATTATAATTACTGGAAAACTCGTCAGTTTGTATAATTACGGGTTAAGGATGTTGTATTGACGAAATGGGTAGGAGGTTCGGACATATAAATATAAAAACAGTAACCAAATCTAATAATGCAGATAGGGATTTAAAAAGTAAATATAACAGATAAACGGGAAGGTTGGACAAGAAAGGTAATAGGATAATCATTATTGGTGGGACTGAATTTTCATGATGGCCATGGTAGGGAGAATGGTTGGACGTATTTCTTTTGGACACATAGAATAGGCTTGAGTTTTTGGATCGCCAGTGCTTCAGCTATTCCTAGATGTCTTGATTTCACTCCCTATGGTAGGCTGGATCGGATCTTGTATATGACTTTGAAGGACTTTTCAAATGGGGCTGAATGTTCAGAATTCACCAGATTTTCTTTTATCGAACTGTATACCCCTTTGCGTTCTCCCTTTGCTAACCACGCTAGATAGTATTCCCGTTCGAGTTTTACAAGCGGACGCATAGTACGGCCAATGTACTCAGCTCCACAAGAGCAAGTGAACTTGTATATGCATGTTGAAATGGCTAAATGTGACATCTTGTCTTTCACGTGATGGCTTACATAACTGATTTCTTAGTAAGGCATTATAATTTTGTGATAAAACAGAGAACAAATAAATTTCCAGTTTCCAAGTATTGGCTGATCTCAAGTTCAATCACGAAGTAACTTCAGTTAGAGTATCACTGAAAACCAACAGGGTGAACTAGGCATCTGAGTTTGGGACGTTTCAACATCAATTACCCACCACCTTACTAAGGATAGAACCTGGGATATCCAGGTGAAGTTCTTTTGAGTTTGACCACGGATTGATGTTAGTTAGAGAACCACTAAAAAACCAGCGAGTACTGGACAGCTGTTTCGTCCTAGTTTGAGGCTCATCAGCGATACACACCCAATGGGGTTCAAACCCACTCGGAAGAAACAACTTTCCAGTGTTCCTCTGGTTTCCAGTAGTTCCCTGTGGTCAAACCTGAGACGAGTCTAATCCCTACAAACAAACTCTTTGAAGCTAATTTCTTTGACAAAACCTACATTGAGATTAGTCCTAATGCCTACAAAATACCCAGAATCTAAATATCGACTTCCAACTTTTGGAAAAGTGTCTTGAAGTTGTGGTCAGATATCGTCGCCAACGGGTTCCACTATGTCAGAATGAAGAATGTTGGTTGGTGGTAGCACTTTATGACGAAATGAAAAAATTAGAATTGACGGATTCCTGCCCAATTAACTGAATAGTTAACGAGCTTCGATTCGTAACTTGAAGGCTGTGGGTTCAACCCCTACTAGGATAATGGATGCATACTGCTAAACAAGGATGTAAATAGCATTCTTTTTAATATTACGCAATCTCCAGTCTAAACTCACAACTCCTCGCGCGCTTCTGAAATGTTTTGACGATGTGAATAGTATCGCAAACTGGATTTTTTGTTTATGCATTAAGTTTGACAATTTGAATATATGCAAGTACACACGGAAATAATTATATGTACAAAATAATGACTATTGTACAGTGGGGGCATTCGACCGAGAGGTACGATGGCGATGCTTGGCTGTAAAGGGAACGCGGAGAAAATACATCGCACTGATCAAGGCACTCTACTCGGACTCATACAGCCAGGTGAGAGCTTATGCCGAGTTGTCATCTGAAGTGGTGACAACTATTGGTGTCTGTCAGGGATGCCCACTATCTCCGTTTCTACTCATTTTAATCATAGACGTACTAATGGACTTAACCCTAAGTGACTTCAGTGACTCAGGGATTGACTTGCTACCAGGGAATAATCTCGTTGAATTAGAATATGCAGATGATGTAGTCCTCCTTCCAGGTGTAGGGACGCTGCCAGAATAGAGCAGAGTCTTCTCAACACCTTGAGCTGAGCAGCAATCTACGAATATTTGGCATACGATTCACTCCCGCCAAATGTAAGATGATGTTACAGGACTGGACTACATTGACTCCTAGCTTAGAAATAGACACCAGTGAAGTGGTAAAGCACGTTGACCACTTCACCCATTTGAGAAGTTGCATCAGCCAACGCCAGAGGGTTGGTCGCTGACGAAATCTCAGCGTGGGCACAGAGGGCTCGTTTCGAATATGCCAGTTTACGCCGTCTCTGGTGTAGACGTGATATCCGGCTGCCTATCGACCAAAGGGCGGGTGTATTGCACAGCAGCGGTCCGCTCCGTTCTCCTTTATAGCTGTAAGTGAGATCTGGCCATTGAGAGTGGAAGACATGAAAAGATTAGCTGTCTTCTGTCATAGGTGCCTGCGTTCTATCTCCCGTGTTAGGCGATGGTGTAATAGTGTGAGAAATATTGAGGTTAGTCGTCGAGTGCTAGGTAAGGAGGAGGGGAAATCAATCGACGAGGCTGTGAAGTTACATCGACTGAGATGTTTAGGACATGTGTTGTTCATGCATGCCTAGTCACTGCCTTCCTCGATCTGCAATGTTGGCTGACATAGGATCAGACTGGAAAAAGAGCTAACGGCGGTTAAACCAAAACATCGCCTCCTCAGTCAATGAAATCCACAACAGTTAGTTTAAGCCAGGTAGGTAGAGTTCCTGACTGGCTGGTTGGGGTCCTCGGGACGGTAAAAACCAATGGCTGGAGACAATTGGTGATATGGCTCAAAGTGATCGTTCTCAATGGCGCAGATGCATCCACTCCTTGTGACTTATAATTTCCAATGAAACTATATTGTTCTTCGTTATTACTATTCCTTTGTCTTATATCCCTGTCTATTGTCTCTATTTTGCATTTCTTCTACTTTCTTCTCTTGCTTTGTGTGCTACATGGAGGGAGTGTGGCGCATTGAACTGCTGCACATCGGTGCAAAGTTCTATGTTGAAAACAGACAGATTGTACACTGAAGTGAATAGAATCGCTGAAGTGTCTCTTTGTTGACCCACTTGATCTTATCTCTATGTCAAGATGCGTATCGTTTTTTTTGGCGTGCCAAACTTTATCCTCATGAATATCTCCTTTTCTTTTTACAGAAGTAACTGATCCAAGTACTGACGAAACTGTTGTCTCACACTGTAATAACACTATTCATAGAAAAGTTTCAACATCACCTTCATCACAACCAAAAAATTCTTTAAATATTCAAAATTATGATATTAGTAAGAAAAAAAGTATTACTAGAACAAATTATAGTGTTGATGTATGTAACAACGGTAACCATAGTAACGACAATATTGAACAGAAAGATTCACTACCACCTTGTCCAACTCGTCGTCATTCATCAACACACCACAATCAGCATCATCATCATCACCATCACCATGATCATCAATCGCATCATTCAGAGTATCTTCAACACCAACCTCATGAGCAACATATTTTCAGCGACCAGTATACCGTCAGTTCATCTTATGCACATTCAAACAAAACTGATGAAGATGCCATTGAATGTGTTACATCTCAACAGGTATCATCAATTTCATCTTGTAAATATAACCAGTCTGATAATCTAGAACATTCCAGCGCCACAGATAGCATACATCAGTATCATCGGATGCATACTGCCTCCACTGTTATCGGTGCAAATGATAATCATGCCTTGAACATTGAAAATATTGCTAATATTGCTAACAATTTAAAACAAAATTTACATAAATCTGATGAAATACAACAAACATTCGATGAAATTTTAGCTAAAAATCATAAGAGGAAGACAGTTATAACGCCAACAACTTCTACTACTCCAGAATCTTCTATAACAAATCAATCATTGCTAGAAAAATCAATAATAGGTAATAGAAGCTCTGATAAAATAAAAAAGCATGAAGATAAATTAAAAAGACGAATTACTGCTTTAAATAAAGAGGTTAGTTCATATTGATGTGTGTTGTTTCCTTATGAATGCCTTATTGCCTGCTATGGACCATTGGAGATTAAGTCTGGCATCAGTTTATAACTCTACAACTCCATTGTCAAACACCCGATGTTGTATAAAAAACATGTACTATGATAGTGGAACACACAAAAAGAGCATTCCCTGATGCTGAATTACGCTGTGTCTTCAAAACCACCCCTCTTTTGCGTTCGGGAGTAAAAGATAAACTGCCTAATTTCGCCTCTTCTATATGTATCTACCAATATAACTGCTCCTGTGGAGCCAGTTAGTTGCATAGGCCGTACAATTAGGCGTGTTTCTCGTCAGGATTTCCGAACATCACCCTGTATAGTGGTTAAGTAAAGGACAAACAAAATCCATTCACATAGCGCTATTCTATTTCATCTTGTGGATACATAACACAAGATTAATGTTAACCAGTAGAATTTAATTGGTGGATAGTGACTAGCAGTGGAATCAATCCAGGATAACGCGCATTTCGTCCTATTTAGGACTCATCAGCTATCGGGAGTGATGATTTTCCCACCGAGGCTCGAACCCACTGCCCATAGTTTCAAACGCCAAAACGTTATCCACTGGACCACCTGGGCCACAACAGACACCTGTGTGCAACGGGAAAATCTGAATAAATTAAATTAATATGACCCGTTACACAAGAGGTGGCTCTCGTGGTCCAAGTGGTCTAGTGGATAACTCTTTGGCGTTTGAAACTATGGGCACTGGGTTCGACCTCACTCAGTCACTGGGGAATGCAGGTACATCCCGATAGCTGATGAGTCCCGAATAGGGTGAAATGCGCGTTCTCCTGGATTCCACTGCTAGTCACCATCCACCAATTAAATTCTAATTAAGTGCCCAGACATCGTCGAAGCATCTGCACAAGAAGTCGACATGTCAACCTGAGACCGAGCACTTCAGTTCAATCAATCGACGGGAAAATCTAAAATTCAATTAAATGTTAACCAGGCGCTTTCAAAGTCATTTACCGCATACCAACAAATCTTAACTTCTCCTTAAGAGTTCGTTTAATAAATATTGCTCAGTCCATCGGCATTCACATTAAGAAGCCTAATTTATGCGTCCAAAAGAAGCTAGTTCAGACATTGTCCTTACCTTGGCCATCTAGGTTCGAATGATCCTCATCTTTTTTGTAGAAATTCCCCTAATTTTAGTTGATATTCTATTTGCTATTATATTTTTATAATTTAAGCATCTTTAATGAACTGTAATTCCATTGTAATCTTACTTAACAAATCGATATTATTTAAAAAACACCAATATTGTTATTGTGCGTCGGTGGCATAGCGGTTAGGACGCTCGCCGGCCATGCACATGGTCCGGGGTTCGATCCCCGGCCGGCGCACTCCTTTACCCCACTAAGCCAGAAATAATGCTGGTGGAGAGGAAAGGTTGGGCATGAGGCTAGCAACCCCATCCCGTAAAATACACACTGCTACAGAAACTTCAAGACTCTGGCTTGGAGCCCTATGTTCCACTGGGAACGTGAAGGAATAAAAAAAATATTGTTATTGACTGCATGAATATTCTATGTACATATATATATATATATATATAATTGTAGAGCCGAAAGAGGGGGAAATTATCGAGAAGGATATTCTTTGCTCAGTTATTTTGTGCTAACTATGATAGTGGCTGTGCTTCAATAACTTAAACAGAACCAGTTTTTCTTCTAAGATTTGAATCTGCGACACTGTTATGTACTCGTCGTCAATAAGTTATGGGGACGTTGCCGATATTAGGGTGTGACCGATGAGTGTAAATATGCGCTAATGAGATATAAGGGATGATAACGTACAGATTGGTACTGCTGAGTACTAAATTTGTCCTGACTCGAAGAAGGCAAATCAGAAGACCAGCACGTTCACGATGATACGTGTATTTTCCACAAGTGTGAGTGAAAGCACCAAACAGTAACGCAGGTGTGAGAGACAGAGAGTGAGTGAGTGAGTGAAAAGTGTACAATACAAGAGTATATATGAAAATGACTAATACATACATGAACCAATAAGATGACAGATAGTAGTTTTTCTTACCACCATTGGATTCTGATACGTTGTAATGTCATGTGACAAAAAGGTCACATATTGTTTATTTAGGATTATAGGTTTCCAGGCCGTAGGTGTTACGAACTTCCTGGAATAATTTGAGCGCCGAGTCAGACTGATTCATTTTAAATTATTTTAATTAATCCTAGCGTGTTAAGAAAATCAAAACAAAATTTTTCTGAATGTTTCGCTGTGTAAGCCACAGCTTCTTCAGCAGATTTATTCGGATTTTGTATTAATCATCAAATTATATAGTCAAAAATTTTACATAAATTGAAGTCAGTTTATTTGAAGGTCATTTGTCCATGGACATTTTTACCAATAGAAATATGTAAGCCGTCATCACATATATTTGTAATGACTAATGTCAAATTGTTGTTGTGTTCACTCTTCTATAGTTGATTTGTACAGATTAGTTTTGTATGAGTGTGTGTGTATGTATGTTATTTGTCATGTGGAAAATACGTGAATTCATATGTGATAAACATGATCCTACATGTTTTAAAAGGTCATGGAGGCTCATATAGTGTTTATTGTTTTTTCCTCTGTCTTGCTTCATAAAAGTTTGCCATATAGGTGATAAGTCTATCCCATCTTTCTTATTCACTGCATTCGATGTGGTTAAGATGTGCAATTGATATAAGAATAAAACTTGGGCACTGTGGTAGAGTGTAATTCCATTATGGGTAAATTTTTATTTTGATAGAATCTCACAGTGTTATACAGTAATATTTACTGATGACGTTTCGAGCACAAACTATTGCTCATAATCATATCAAGTTGAAAGATGTGCAAGGCTTCAGAAGTCAATCTTTCTTTATGTGAATGAAATCCTCTTCCAAGAATTTCGACATTGTCGAAATCAATCTTATGTCCGCTGTCTATCGCATGCACTACTATGGCCAATCGTTTTTCTAGACTTTTTAATTCTGCTTCATTTCTATGTCAATTCACCCTGACCTTCATCTGTCTACTGCTCTCCCTTATATAGCATGCATCACATTCTGAACACTTTATCCTATAGACACAATTACTTTTTGACATTTTGGGAACTATATCTTTGACATGCACCAGCGCTTTCTCCAGAGAATTAGAAGCTTTGACATAGACTTTAGTATTATATAAGGTAAATAGTCTTTGAAGTTGTTCAGCTGTGTCCTTTCGATATGGGATGGCTATCGTCGATAGCCAGGATTTTTCAATTTTTTCTTTTCCCTTATGCTCCTTTTTATTGATAATATCATCTAGTAGCTTTTCAGGATAACCGTTTCCAATCAAAATCTGTTTTATATTGGATATCTCGTTCTCCATATCGCCATTATCTGTTATAATGTTTCTAGCTCTGTTAACGAGATTTAAAGCTACTGAAACTTTCATTTCTATTGGATGATATGATTGAAAATTCAAATACTTGTTGGAATGTGTCGGCTTTCTGTGTGTGGTAAACTTTAGTTTCTCGTCAGTTTGTCTTTTTACAAGACAATCAAGAAAGTTTAGAGTTCCTTCGGCCGATTCTATTTCATTAGAAAATTCAATATATTCTGAGATTAAGTTAATTTCTGTTAGAAAGTTTTCTTTTTCAGCTTTCTATATGATGATAAATGTGTCATCTACATATCTGTACCATATTCTAGGATGACAACTAAAACTTGTCAATGCTTTCTTTTCTAGGGCTTTCATATATAGGTTAGCTACAATTGGAGATGCTGGTGAGCCCATTGCAACTCCATTTGTTTGACAGTACAGTTTGTCTTTAAAGGTAAAATATGTAGATTCCAAACAAAGTTTTAAGCTTTTTATAACTTCATCTATTGATAATAAAGATTTAGTTAATACTTCTTGATTGTTTTCAAGCTCATGTTTCATAATATCGAGTGAATCACAAATAGGAATACTAGTAAATGAAGAAACCACATCAAAACTTGCCATAATTTCATCTTCTTCAATAATTATATCCATTACTTCCCTTTTAAATTCCTCAATATTTTTGATGTTCGAAGGAATAAGTGTCAGACAAAGCATATTGTGAGTTATAATGGAATATCGATCAATATACACATAGCAAAATACATCAAACTGTCAAAAACAAAGAAGGACATCATGTGACGACATATCACCTCCCCTTTTGAGAAGATTGATGATTAGTAACGTGCTTTCTTGAGGTTTCATCTGGAACCGTTGAGTTTGTTGTCAACGTCTGTTGCTTCGTCTGCTTGTTGGATTCGTGGCTTCTGCTTTGTCCGGAATTGTCTGACATTTTATGCTTTTGACTGCATTACATACAGAATTTAGTGGGACATTAGCGAGATGTAACCGGTCGAACCAATCAAGTCCCAAAAGATTTAAATCACTCTGGGTGACGTAACAAATTCCTGTGAATTTGATGTTGCGGAAAGACACGGAGCACTCGAGTTCGTCAGTTAGTTTAAGGCGCCCGCCACAGGTGCTGACAGCAGTTTGCGAAGTGTTTGTGATAGGTGGTCTGCCAATATCATTCTAAAGTTTCTCTGATATAACCGTAATGTCAGAGGCAGTATCCAACTGCAGTCGTGTATTGTGACCATTTATCTGAAGATTGCTATAGGGAGAGAAGTCACCATTGAGATATTTTGGCAGATAACTGACCTCTTGTAGAAGTGTAATCCATACATTGCTTGGTTGCCACGATGATGCCACTGTTAGTTGTCTAGTCATTAATGGTATAAATGCTGACTGAATTTTATCGGTGAAGATCGTCAAGTGATCATCAGGTATTGCGGGTTCGAATCTCATAGGTGACATTAATTCTTTAAAGACTTCTGACATACCTTAATGATGGGTGTCAGTGAGCACAAGGTGTGACTTTCGATTTATACTTTTTTGGGGGGAACTTCACGAAAAGTGATTATTCCCACTGGAATTGCGAAGCAACACCGTTGAGTAAGAGATGGCTCTGCTACCTCAATGACCAAATGGATAACCCTATTGACATTTGAAACAATGGATGGTGGATTTAAATTTTAGTTGGAACATCAGCATATACAGGGAATCCATCCAACTGATGGGTCTCAGATAGGATGAAATAAACCATCTAGATCCCACTGTTAGCAGCACACTTTATCTAAATAACATGAAGATGAATTCATCTGAAGGCATCACTGAAAGCGCCCATACTAAGAGCTGGCAGATCAGCAAAGATCTCGCATTTCATTTGAATATAAAAACCAACCAATAGGGAAATTCAAAATAAAACTTTTAACAAAAGTAATTCCTCCTAGTAATATGATAGATTTTTATGATGATTATATCTAAAATTATTCGTTTCTCCGTCTCACCTCTGTGTGAATGCGTGTTTACAGAGGTGATGGCTGGGAAGAAGGTCACCTCATCAGTTCAAATTTCTATATTTCTCGAAGTGGCTAGCAGTGAAATCCAGAATGTGCATTTCGTCCTATTTACGACATGTTGAGAGGGCTAATATTTCGTTTGTCGGTCAACAGGAAGACGAAAACTTACTTAAAAATGAATATTAACTGATGCTCATTGTAAAACAGGTGGTTCTCTTTAGCCCAATTTCTCTAGTGGACAACAGTTTTATGTTCGAAAAGGTGGATACTGACTAGGTTTGAGTCTCTCTCTCTTTCTGTGGGCACCATTACTCCATTGGAATATAGGTATATATATATTTTTTGATTTACAGCTTGATTCCACACCGTATTTTCAGTACAAGTGTGGAATTTTCAGCATGGATATCGGTAGCCCAAATTCAGGCCGACCATAGATATCGGGTGTGCGCCGGAAGGGGATCGAACCCCGGACCATGTGCATGGTCGCCGAGAGTCGTAACCACTGTGCCACCGACGCACCAACTGACGAGTCCCATACACGTTGAAATGCAACGTGAAATCCAACTGCTAAACACCACCCGACCGAGAGCTGCTGCCTTGACATGGTGGCCGGGCTCGCATATCACAATGCTGTCTCTCCACTCTGGAGAGAAGGGGTTAGAAAGGTCACCCCCGAAAATTGTACATCCCGATTTACTCTACGGTGTGGTCCGTAACTGGCGGTAAGTTTACTAATACGAAACCAATCCAAAAAGCCAGTTCAAACAGGCCAGGTGTGTGTGTGACCGGTCGGTCTCAAGCAGTCGTCCCCTAGGCTTTGTGGTCACGCAAAGGTAGGTAGAAGAAGAAAAATCAACTTCCACGGTGTGGGTAGCCGGGAATTAACAACCACCCATACACTCCCAAAAGCAAACACGAAGCCCTACTGATCACCATCCATCCTGCAAATCACTATCTACCAAATATTGTCAAATACTGCCGAAATGTCTGTACTAGGAGTAAGCCGACATGTCAACACAGAGGTCCAACATTTTGGTATAGTCAATCAACGGGAAAAACACATTGAAATCGACTTCATTACGAATACTTTTTATCTCTGTCTTTTTGCTTCCTTTTATCTGTTTTATACATAGAATAGTCAACTTAAAGAAATACTGAACTGTATTCAAATGGAAACCGATTTTTATCTGAAGAAAATGTGTCAAATTGAAGATTTCTGTCTACAATTAATACATCATGATAACAGTAATGACAATGAAGAAGAATTTCATCAAGGCGATAATCAAGTCAGTGTTGTCCATGGTCACAACGATGAAAATAATCATGATGTCGGTGTTGATGGCATGAATAATCATTCTTCTATGGATAATTTATCTCAGACACTTATACAAGAAATTTTAGCTATTCTTTACGATGAAAGTTATGTAAGTTCAAATGAATTTTTCGCTTTTTTGCCTGTACGAATAGTTAATTGATGATTTTTAAAAAGCCAGGAATCATTTATTTACAACTTTAATGGGTCGTAATCGCTTGATTCTATCTAGAAGTGGGACCTAAGAAGGGCGTTTCGTCCCACTTAGGACTCGTCAATGGGGTGTACATGTGTAGCTGGAGAAGACAAGAGACTTGGTAACGCGCTTTTAACCACATAAAATTCGATTCGGTCAGAGGACAATCAATTGTTCTGATTGGTTGATGTGTGACCCAAGGTTAAACGAGTTGTCCAATGAGGTTGTTTCGTGTCTACAATGTCAAATAAACTAAATCCTGATTTGAGGAATAAACACTTCTACTTCTGCAGTCAGCAATTAACTTAAAATGTTAATTTCAGTCTGCATCACGCTAAGGCCTTATTCATTCGGAACACCATTACTCACAAGAGATCAGGTAAATTTAGGCTAACGAGTCCTATATAGGATGAAACGCTCATCATGGATTCCATAGTTAGCTATCATCAATTAAATAACGTACTACTGATCTTTGAACATAATCAGAGTGTTCTTATTAGGTGGCGAGATTTACTCTAGAAATCATTTTAGTGCCATTCATTTGGTTGATGGTGAGTAGCTCTGAGATCCAGTAAATGTACGCTTTGTCCTGTTTTCAACTGGTCAGCTGGAAGTAACGCCAATTCCTATTGAGGGATTGAGTGAGTGGGTGACAGTGTTCATTCCCCAAGACTCGAACCTGGCACTCATCGTTTCAAAGCCAACAGTAGCTAGTTTGTCAACAGAGATCGAATTTTTCTCTGCAATACATAATCCATCGATGGGTGATACAAAATAAAACTTAATATTATTGTTATGTCACTCGATTTCAGTAAAAGCAGTGTAAAATGAGGACTTTGCCACTATGGTAGAATTTGATTCGATATTAGATACGATTGCTATATATTACACACACACACACACAGTGATACAGTATTAATAACTGGATGACGTTTCGTAATCATATCAGTGTATTCACACAGCTTCATAATTGGCTTTAAATACATATTTTTCTTTGATTGCATGGAGGATTTCATCATGAGCTGACATCAGTTAGGGAACCACTGGAAAACCAGCTGGGAGTACTGGACAGCTGTTTCGTCCTAGTTTGGGACTCTTCATCAGTACGCACCCACACTACTGGGTTCAAACCCAGGACCTTCTGGTTACAAGGCTAGCGAGCTCGTAGACCATTGAGCCACTGGGACCCGATCCAATGGTCCTTGAATTCTAACTTCTGCCAATTCACGACATAGCGCGACCATTTCGCAATGTCTTCTTCGGTGAGTTACTGCCTCATCTTCAACCTGCTGTATCCTACTGGTCACGGCTTCCCACTAGAACCCCAGGTTAACTGCCTGAATAGGGCCAGTCACTAGTGAGCATCAGATTAATTTTCAAGTATTGGATTTGTAGGGATTTTGTTTGACTGCATGGAGGATTTCATCATGAGCTGACATCAGTTAGAGAACCACTGGAAAACCTGCAGGGAGTACTGGACAGCTGTTTCTTCCGCTTAGTTTGGGACTCTTCAGCAGTACGCACCCACCGGGATTCGAACCCAGGACATATTTTTCTCTTCCTCTGGTTGTTTGTTGCCGTTTTCTAAATCTCCGGTATAGGCTTTGCATCATTTCAATAAAAGGTGCTTGGTGTTGATTTGCTGAACAACGATTCGGTGATTAACCTCTCTCTGTCTCTCTTTCGCTCTGTACCCAACTTTATTACTTTTAAATACTTTCACTCTGTCCCAGTCTATTGTGTGATTACAACATGCAAGTGAATACACCTGCATTGACTGAGCTGTTATCCGGATTATTCACTTTAACAGGTTCAATCATTCTAGATCTAGCTAATTTTTTTCTAATGTTCTGATAATCTAATTGACTGTGATCTAATAGTCTGACCTATGCTTTAACTGACCTCACTAACGGTGATTACATGGTATTTAGTAAATTTTATTATTTTTCTTAGTTGTATTTGTTGGGTCCTCAAGTCCGCACAAGTTGTCCCTAAATAATTTTAGTTTGTTTTAATGCCATCCTAAGTATTAATTAGTACAACAAAAAACCTAAACGATGAAATGAAACAGATAGAAGAAGAAGGGATGGTGTTAAACAACTAACTATCCTATAAAATTCATTAGGAAGATCAGTAAGGGTCAAAAGCAAAAGAAAAATAATGGTGAAACTTATAATGGCAACATAGATAAGAGAGAATATAAGGCATCTACTGTAGTTTTACCATATAAGTGGAGAGGGGACATCTGAGACCATCCCTACGTAGGATTCTTACTAAAGCAGGAATTAGGGTGGCATTCAAACCTACAAACTCACTCAGAGACAAGCTCTGTAGGCTAAAGGACCCTGTTGGTTGACCCAATTAAACAAAATAATCTAATTTACAAAATACCTTACAATGACTGTGAGTCAGGTCAACTACAAAGGTCAAACTAGTAGATCAGTGGGGTGCAGTCAGATTATCAGAACATAAGAATTTAGCTAAGGTTAGAATGGTTGACCCCGAGAAAATAAGTAATTTAGAAAAAAACTCAGCCATTGCACTGCATGCATTAACACACAACCACACAACAGGGTGGGAGAGGGTTAAAATTCTAAAAAGTAATATAGGTAGGTGGAGAGAGAGAGAGATTGATTACAGAATCCTGGTTCATCGAGTGAATCTACACCCAACACATGCAACAGAAATGACTCAATGCAAATACCAGAAATATGGAAGATATTATTACCACCAGTCAGTCAAATCAGAGGAGGATAATAAATAATCTTAAAGTTCTATTTCAATTCAAGCACATCATAACATTCTAACAAGTTATTTATTTTTACTATGAAAACATTTTATTTCCAAGCTGATTGTATTTTATTGATAACACTCATATTATTATTTCCGAATGTACCTTATCTTATATTGATTTTATTCAAATGTCTAATCATCAGTTTTTACTCATGTATATAAATGAAGCAAGAATTGTGTGAGTAGTGCCTTGATAGGATTATGAACAGCAATAAATTGTGCTGGGAACGTGGTCATCAGTATATATATTACTGTATAACACTGTGTGCATGACTTTATCAAAATGAAAAATTCTATCCACAATGGAATTACACCCTGGTTTCAGTCTTACCAATGGTTCTACACAGAGCTTCTGATGCTCCTTCTACTTTATATGGAATTACTATTGAGGCTTTAAATTCCTTATTACTTATATCATTTTCATTGCTTACATTACCACTCTTATTTTATGTAGGCTTTTTCATACATTTTTGAATTAATTAAAATCTCAGCCAAAAAACAATTATGATTGATTATGATGATATTAGATGGTGGAGGCAATTTGCCATAGGAAGCCCAGTCTTGGATCTAGGTTTCGTCACTCACCAATCAGCAGGGCGTATCTGCAAGTGCCTCGAAGGAACTCATGTCCCACTCCTATGGGATTCGAACCCACGTCATCCAGTGCCGCATGCAGTCAGAGACGTTACCACTGAGCTATTCGGGCTCGCGATTGACCTCCTGTAGGACTGTAGTGGATACTTTGATTGGACACTAGTAACTAGTGCGATGTGTCTAGTCTTTTCTTTGGTGCAGACTGAATTCTATCAGTCATTAATTCCATATTAGTTTGTTTATTAGATATATAGAAAATCAAAACAAATGATTCAGCGAAGGGACTCTTTTCAACAACGAATTTATCATCAAGCTGTACAATCGTATATATATATGGTTTTTAAGAAGTTATATCCGGTGAGGGAATTGAAACATAGGTGTGAATGCATGAAATAATAATAATAATATGAAATGCAATTAAAACTAAAATGTTTGTGATTATAATCGTAGTTAAATGTCAAGTGGCAAAGCAAATTAATGTCATATATAGAATAATTCATAGGATGGATAGAACTTGTAAAAAGGTGTGCAATTATAGGATTAGTAGACAAATCGAATAAAATAAAAACGTTACGTAATATTGTGTGAAATTCGATAACACAGAAGGTAACGTTGTAAAAAGGAATTGATTTAGAATGACAAGTGGGACAAGTGAAACAATACCGGGGACAGTTAAAAGCGAGAGTAGTAATAGTAACAGTTGACGTAATATAAAGGAAGAGTATACAAATTGAATAGACAAAAATGAAAAAAATGAAAAATTGGTAGAGCTAAAATGTGATTGGGGATTACCATACTTTAGCATAGAGGCATTAATACCATGAAAGTTGGAGGGGTTGAACGAACTTTTTCTGTACACAGAGATCTGGCTTTTCTGTTTCGATAGCCAAAGCTTCAGCAGCTTGATGATAAATTCATTGCTGAAAAGAGTCTCTTCGCTGAATCATTTATTAGATATATCACACAGTGAAACAGTATTATTTACTGGATGACGTTTCGAACAAAATTTATTGTTCATAATCATATCAACTGTAAAGAATTGAGTAAAGAATTGAGTAAACAGCATTCTTGAATGCTTTGAATTTAATATTTTGACGTTTTTCTTCTCTGTTTTTCTCGCAGGAAAATGTCGATATGACAGAAGAACAAGGATAATCTCACTTCACAAGGCTCATACAATCAATTATTGAGCGTATTTCAAATGTGCTTCCCTTCTGCTTCTTCTTCTCTGCTGTTGAACAGGAATCCTCTTATGCTTCATCGTCTGCTTCACTGTCATTTCCATTCCACCTTCCAGTTTTTTTCTTCGTCAGTTCAGTTCCCACTTTTCCAAAGCCGTCGATTCCCAGTAGATTTGTCGTTTTTTCTCTCAGAATTTATACTACTCATAGTAGTATGAGGTGTTTAATCAGAAATGACTTATGCTATAGAAATATATATACACATCAATAACCATGTATACATATTATATATGTATCCTTATGTAATAAGCATTTTCATTGAGATTACTTAGGTGACCAGTACTGCTATTACTACTCCTGATGACGATGAGTTTAGATCTAAGCAATCTGTTAGCAAGA